AGAACTTCTTCTTTTTAATTCTATTTTGATGATACTTTGTATATGATGTTTCTTCCTTGGATGTTAAATAGAACAGTGAAATAATGGTCTTTAAGAACTTAAAGAAGATGGGATTTCAGGGGGTAAAATCAACACAATATGAAAGACCAGTGCTGTTTATATTTTTATCCTCAAGTTAGACACAGTGTGTGGCCTCATGATTACCTCCATTTCTAAGGACTCACCAGGCTCTAGGTGCCAGGTGGTAAGACCCTGGCAAGCTTTGCTCATTTACTTCTCACAGCAACCTGGAGTGCCATGTGATAGGTTTACCCTATGTTTTTAAATGGAAGAAGAAAAAGATTCAGCCCGTGGAGCAGGCAGGGGGCACCGAGGGGGGTGCGGACAGACGGGTGGAGAAGGGGCCTGACATCGGCACTCACCCCAGGCGCCAGGGATCCGAGCTGGGGTCACAACGCGCGGGGGGCCAGCGGGGGTCATGCTCTAGGCCAGGACGCTCCAGGGCCCAGGAGGTAGAGGGGACACCAGGCAGCCGGGGGCCGACTCAGGGGGCTCCAGGTCCCGGCAGACCCACTCCCAGCCCCACCTCCTCCCACGGTTAATGATTCCCAGACCAGCTGACCACACCCCCCGCTCACATGGCTCCTCACCAGCACAGGCCTGTAACCCAGCCAGCAAGGGAAGGAGCCTGGCCCTGCGATGGGGTCCTTCTGAAATTCTCCAGGAAGGACCCGACCCGCAGCCACATGGGCATCCCCTCTCCACACCCTTGGTTTGGGTCAGAACTCCCTGGAAAGGGTCCACCCATTCTCTCTGCCTGATTCCCTTTGACAGACCACCCAACAAACTCCTATTCATCCCTCAAAACCCATCTACAACACCACCTCCTCCTTGAAGCCTCCCTGACTTCCCAGGCACTTTACGGATGAGGCAACTGAGGCCCAGGCAGGTGAAATCTGCTGGCCCCCAACTCGGAGCTGGCAGCCACTCACCACACAGGGCAGCCTCTGTTCCCAGCGAATGTTAAACACAAGAAAGCAGGGAGAAGACCGCGTGGCGCTTGATGTAGCAGGAGAGGCTACGGGGCCACGTGGGGGGTGATGGGGGGGCCAGGCATGGAGAGTCAGAGACGAAGGAGAGAGGGGCCTGGGGGTGGCCAACATGATGACCCCACCGCCCCTGCTCAGCCCAGTAAGTCAGGTTCGCTATTTCCCATCACACACTGCTCACCCCGCAAGGGTCTCTCCATAATACTCTTAGTTCAAACTGGAGCCAGGCCCAGCCGGCGTAACCAGGTGCCCACCCCGGCCAACTCAGAGTCCGGGGCTCCCTCGCCCCCCAGCCCAGGCCCTGCGCCCTCAACAGAGGGGGGAACAGAGCCACTTCCCGAGGAACCGGCCCCCAACTCT